AAAATGTATGGTCTGAGACGTAAAATTGATATGCCAATAAACCATATGCGGGATTATTACAAAATAGCAAAAGAAAATAATTTCATAGAATCTGAAAAATATTGATGCTCTACGATGTCAACAGCTTATGGTTAAGCGTAATATGATAAACGACAATAAAGAAGTTGCATCAATTGCTTATGTTTCTCTATTCGATGCCTATTATCGTGCAAATGGAATAAGGGTATGTAATCTCTTAGGCGCTGAAGCCTGGAAGCAGAATATACTAATTAGTATGATACCACATAAAGATGTCGAATCTGGAAAATATCCCGGTGCCCATATATTTTCTCTGGTAAAAGGCCTCAATAATAAGCGTCCGGTTACAGGTTTGGATTTCGTATCATTATATCCATCTATTTTCATAACTTACAACTTTTCACCTGAAATGATGATATTAGAAGAAAAAACAGCTACTAAACTACAACAGAAAGGAATACGTCTCCATAAAATCGAATTCACATTTAATGGTCGAATATTACAAGCCTGGTCGGTATTACATGAAAACAAGATCGATAAAAAAGGTTTGTATCTATTAGTTCTGAAAAAACTTCTGGATAAGCATAATAAAATGAAGTTCGATCTTGCTATTCTAGATAAGAAAAAGGAGTATATGGAATTGGTTATTAGAAAAATGAAAGAGAGGAATTTATCATTAACAGATGCTATAGATAACATCTTGGATAATGCAGAAAATAAAGAAGAACGTTCTGCTAGGATTGAAATCTTAATTCCTTTTAGTAAAGATTATAACATTTTTATAACAGAATATGAATCTGTATGTTTTGACTATGCCTGTTTGAATTCGAAACAAAAGGCAGTAAAAGTTTATATGAATTCATTTTACGGTGAGACAGATAATAGTCTATCCCCGTTCTTTCTACGCCATATTGCTGGAGCTGTTACTTCAGCAAGTCAGTTCAATATTAAGCTTATTGCAGAATACGTACTAAAAAAAGAATATGGAATTCAATATGGCGATACTGATTCATTGTATTTTACCTGTCCCAAAGATAATTATAAGAAATGTGATCTAGCTTATAGAAACAATTCAATTTCAATACTAGAGTATTGGACTGAAATGGTTAATATTAGCATAGAAGTAATGGAGAAATTACGCAATGAAGTGAATACCTATCTTAAGATAAAAAGTAGA